GTACATGCTGGGATCAATTTTGAGGCATAAAGATACATATTATATATTTACTGACAGTTTATATGTATCAAACTGCATGTAGTGCACAGAACAATGGAACTAGAGAGTACTAGTTTTCGTTTCTGTGTCACTCATGCCAACGACACGCTGCAGCTTCAAACCGTTTGGACATCAAGCAATCCATGTTATTTACTGTTCTAGGAACAATTCGGTTGTTCCGTCCCACGTGTGTGACAAATGTTGCTTGTAATTGTAACATTTGCTATGTGTATAAATCTATTTTCGTTTACTGTACTATAATTTGTATTACAGTGTAGTTATTATTTAAAGCGTTGCTCTTACCAAGGTAAAGCCATCTTGCAATTTCAACCTTTTAGGACATAGTGCGCCTTATTGGCTTAGCTATGGTGCCTTATCATACTATCGGTGTGGAAGCGTCTGCGCCAGAGCGGGCGCGCAGCGAATGCTTCGCGAACACGCTGCGTCTGCGCAACGAATACGTTTTCATATATGTAGCAAATTATTGCCACAACAACGTGCGTCAACAACGAATTCACTGCGCATGCACGGCGTATTAGTTCTGTGTCCGTATTAAATCCGTTGCGCGCCCGCTCCGGTTTGAACACGTTCGCAATCCGCTAGTATGTTAAGGTCCTTATTGTTTAGAGAACAAATTAGTTTTTAGGCAGAAGTATTCACTTAGAAATTAACCCAGATCCAGCACCGTCGTTTTTGTTATTGCAACGCTTGCGGTCGCGTATTCGGATACAAAAACTTGAATTATGATGTTGTTTTCAGTCTCCTTGGTTTTGGTAATTATAAATTATTACCATTATACGTTTTCATTATAGATGGTAAACACGAATAAGTTATAAACCCTATTGTGATTGACTGATTATGAGATGACGAATTTTTATTTTAATGTCAGTGCGGTAGATTGTTTAAAAACATTAGACACGTATGTATTTATTTTGTAACGGAAACGAATAGTTTCGAAGATATACCGATTTGAAATATTGCATGACGTCACTTTTGAGTACGATTTATACTCTAAAATGACGTAGTTACCTCCCACTCCTAAACTTTACACGATAGAATAAAAAAATACGTATCTAATATTTTTTCATAACCTAACTGACGGACAAGATTTTTAATTTTCATACCATGTCATCATCCCTATTATCTGCAACTTTTTGAGTGCTAAAATATAAACAAATTATTAAGTGACAATATATACCTGTATGTACCTCTACATTCAATCCATGTGTTACTTAGTCTTGTAATATTGTTTTTTAACCAATAATAAAGGGTCGTAGAATAAGAGAATAAGAATATCTTATATAAGGTACCAACTTAGCATTGAAATGAAAGTATTAACCTATTAATATAATTTTGTAAACAAAGATATTTTAATGTTTGATAAATATTTTTGTCACCAAAACCCAATACTAATAAGTACTCACTCGCGGGGCGGTCACATTCGTCAGCTTCAATCAGTTTAGTCAGGACATATGTCGTCCCGTCAATTATTTTTAAACAATTTTGTTCCCAATGTGGGCCATAGACCACCCGTTTTAATCGATCAGTTGGACTGTTGATTTAAAACGTCAGAGTGTAAACTTACTTCTTGGGAAAGGATCAAAATTTGAATATGTAACAACTCTGTGCCTATAGATGTTTTTTATGTCTGTTACATTTATTAATACGTTGTTCTTTTAATAACTGTTGTTCTTAATTTAATAGGCTAACAAAACAAGTCTGCCATCGATACCTATAAATATTTACATATAATTTATAACATAAATGGTAAAAGTATGTTCATTCTTCGAACACCTCTGCTTTCCTTCCTAAAACGCGATAATTTATTATCTAATAATTTGAAGGACAGTCATACGGAACTTGCTTTCTATTACCTTATTATTTTAGTATCCTTGTTTGTGTTTTATGATTATTCATTATTGAGTAATACGATTGTTAATGTGATCTTGTATTTGTAACTATATTTATATAAAGTATGATGTATTGTTATTGTGACAGTGTTGAATTCAGCGTGTTCATACTTGTATGCTAGTTACGAGTAGAATGACATGGGTTCGCTTGATTCTGAAGTGACACCCTGTCACAATTTCAAAGTCGTTCCGTCAAAGTCACAATGTAGGTGATTCTAAATATTTTATTGGTCTGTATTCATTAACACTAGTCTTTATTTCAAATTATCTGTTACTAGACTTAAGATTGTATTAACTACAAATAGTAAAACGTTAAAAAATATGTATCAGATACTACTGTTGTGTAAGATTGATAATCAAATTATACATGTATCTACAAAGTGTTGAAATATCTATTATTTTTTAACCTTTTGACCGCCAGAGCGCAAACGCATCGGCAGCCCTTCCACGCCAAGCTAAAAATGAACCGTAAATAGATACTTACAAAAAAATAGTGATTCCAACATCTTATCGATAACCAATTATTTATTGCTTTTCGACCCATGTTTTTGAAATTAAATATTACTCACAACATCATTATTTTATTTATTTTGACCCTATTTCGAATTATACAATCATGAAACAGCAGTTCCAAAGTAAGAAATACAAATGAAAAAAGGTGCATCACTAATTTCGTTGGTGACGTCATCCGCCGACGGGAAGATACGTCTCTGTTGTAGGTGGCTTTTGGCAACAGCCTCGCATGCGACTATGGATAGTATGGATAGGATATTGTGGCAATTTGATCAATTTGCTTTTAATTATTACCGGGGTTTGGAGTAGGTACATTGATTTTATATACTTGCGTCATGATATTATAAATATGGATATGCTATTTTATCCATATTATTGGAATTATGAAATAAAACAAAAAAATATCGTATACAAAATAGTTTATTGTATGAATGATTGATTGAATTCAATGAAAAATTATTTTTAATTAACCAAAATATAGATAACTAGCAGCCCGTCCCGGCTTCGCACGGGGTAAATAATTATTTATTTTTAGAAATTTGGATTGTTGTAGTGACATAACTACAATAGTTGGACATATGCTACCGCGAACTTTTTTGTAGACATTATGATGTTCTTCAATATTGTTTTACATTATTTTGTTCTATCGCTAATAGTTTCGACAGCGCATTCGACGAAAGACATTTTAAGACTCATTTTTCTACAACTTCGGTTACATTGTTCAAATTTTACCAAGGATCCCTAATTTGAAAATGAAATGTAGCCTATGTCAAATTGGAAGAATGTAGCATTCTATTGGTGAAAGAATTTTTTAAATCGGCCTAGTACTTTTTGAGCCTATTCATTACAAACATACAAAAATAGGTACAAATCTTTCCTCTTTATAATGTTAGTATAGATATAAATACATTTTTTTCCTTAAATCTTCATCATCCTCTTCTACATTTTCTAACCCACGAAGGAGTTCTTCAGTAGACAATTCACTGCCAGCCATTTTAATTATCAATCAATACATATTATTATAATGAAAATGTAAAAGGTCGCTATCTGTACATGAAAGATTATTTATCAGAAAATCTTTATTATTTATATATCTACGCCATAGAACCCAAAACAATGATTTTTAGAACTTTTGTCTGTTTGTCTGTACGTTTGTTCGGGTAAATCTCAAAAACAGCTTAACCTAATTGAATGCGGTTTACACTATTGCGGTTTGCTGGGATTAACATTTAGTATGTGTTTTGTGTAAATTGGTTCTAAAAATAAAAAAAAAAGTTATGTCAATCTAAAGAATAGGGTAGATGCCTAATTTTTATTTTAATGTCCCAGCCATATCCAAAATTTGAGTCTAAATAAATTTAAAAATGTCATTAAAGATAAACTTTATAGTAAAGCTTTTTATAAAATTAAAGACTACCTAGATGATAGTCTGGCTTGGGAATAAGCTGCTGTAACGTCCACACAGGTCATGTTGACATGTTTGTAACATATAGTTACATTTCTTGACATTATTTTCATATGTTGTTGTTAAAATATTGAAATGAAAATAGAACGCAAACTAGTTCATATTCTTACCACTAGTGGCGCTGTCTTTATTTGTATGGAGATATGTTATATTTTTTTTTATCTATGGTAGTCTACCGTACGTCTGCATGATACTGTTTGATTGATCTCAGAAATAAAATTATTTGTAAACTTTTACACAGTTTTATTTTAGAACCACATTTTCCTTAATGGTAGCAGAGCGTGGTTCTGAGTAAATTATAGTAATAGTTCAGACAAACAGAAGTTTTTCGTATCAAGTGAATGAAGACCGCCGCTCTTCGGTTACTTCCC